CACACAAATCTTTGCTCCTTTATCTCCTCCTGGTAAAATATTTTTGGTTGTCACATACATGAACATGATAGAAAGTGGTCATTCCAGACCTAACCTCACCCAAAGAGGTGGACAGATGGAATGTTAACCAGCTCAAAAAGGCTTGGTATTTTCTGCGGATTTCCTCACAGTTTCGCCCCAGGTTTCCCGTTTTTGCGGACCTTCGTTCTTTTTCTTTCTCCCTTTGTGCTCGGCTTTCTTTTCCTCTTATCCCTTCATACACGACACATCCTCATGTTAACTGATACCAACCACACTATCAACCCTCCAACATCAACTTTCACTTCTCGACCGTCTGGTGGTGGTCCCGATTCCCCGCTGCCCTCCTCTCCCAACCACGACCACAACAAGAAGGGTGGCGGCCACAAGAAGCCGCCCTACCTCGTCCAGACCCGCGTGCTCGGCGGCCGTCAGCAGAACTATGCCTTCGCCTCAAGTGTTGACCCCAAGCTGGTCAAATTCAACCGCACGCGCGAGGTGATCGCCGTGGCCCAGCGGCACTGCCACCTCTGGTTCCAGTACGCCCCGCCGTGCAACGTGCGCCTGGCCATCTACGACGCCGCCACTCTCCGCCCGCTCCGGCTGTTCGACCTCCTGGCCGGCCCGCTGGTCGAGCACCTGGCCTGGCACCCCGACAAAGCCCATCGTCGCCCTCGCCACCTCCATGGTAACGCTCCACCACCTTCTTTTTCTCCTCCTTGCTAGCGCCCCTTGGTGATGAGCTTTAGTATCTCGACCGCCGAGGCCGAGTGCCCTCCCGAGAAATTGAGCGTAAGGGGCGTGCATTTGGCCGAAAGTGCACCCTCGGTTAAAAAACGATTTGCGTCGACAAACACCAAAAGCTGCGCTCTTTGGTTTTGTTTCGCTTTTGTTTATTGGTTTTTTCAAATTGCAAATGAAACACAAGCTCTGTACTTCATTTGTCTCACTATTTATTTTACTACTTTCATAGGTTATTATTACATTTTTTTAATAACAATTGTTGTCATAATCGTGTGTGTGGCAGCTGGACTACTTTGGACAGCAGTACATGGGCGGCCAGCTGTTTCTGCTCAACTGGAAGACGGGCCAGCGCGCCGCTCTGCTGAAGGAGGGCAGGCCCGTGACCTACTGCCACTTCACGGACGACGGCCGCCTCGTGTTCCGGGTCGCCGGGCGCGGTGACCTCGGCGAGCAGGACGCCTGCTACGTCGTCGGCAAGGACGTCTACGGCACGTGGCGCAACGGCTGCGTGCGATTGGACCGCCTGCGCGCCGTGGACGAGCTCGAGGGCCGGCACAAGACCGGCAACCACAACCACCACAGCCACGCCGACGGCGACGATGGCGACCACCCGACGTTTAGCCGGAAGCGGGCCAAGGAGGAGAGCGACGAGATGATGGTCACCTACTGCTTCGTCGAGGAAGACATCGTGGCCAGCCCCGCACCAACGCCCGCGGCCGGTCGTAGTGGCAGCAGTAGCGACCAGGCGGCCGGGGCTGCACCAACGAATAAGCCGGCGTGCAAGCCGACCCTGTTCCAGGGCGAGGTGGCGAAGGAGACCAAGTGGGAGCGCAAGCTGCGGCGGATCGCCGAAGCGCAGGGCAAGCACTACGAGACCAGCAAGACCGTGTGGGGTGTCGACTTCCACGACGACGACACCCTGGCCGTCACCAAGGTACCCTGGCGCCCCCATCCGTGTGTGAGTTGTGTGTGTGTGTTTTGTGACATTGCTATATTGCTGACATGTGGTTGGAATTGATTGATGGGGGTTGTAGTGGGACAAGTCGCTGGAGGTGTGGTCGCGACGGCCGGAGAAGAACAAGGACTGGAGCAAGAAGATGAACATCTACAGCCACTACGACAGCGGACTCCAGATCCAGTCACTCAAGGACACCACCGGCGAGGACGCAGTGATCGTCACCGAGGGCCTCGACCACACCCGCTGGCGCATCGTCAAGATTTGTACTCTACTCCACTCCTCACACCGACTGGCTCGTTGCGGTTAAGGTGTCGGCTGACGTGTGTCTCGTGTGTGTTTGTGTGTCTCGTCGCGGTGCAGTGATTCCGAGCGGCCGAACGGCGTGGGCGCGACACTTTGACTTGGGCGTGAACTACACCGCGCGGATGAATCGCACCGGACACACGCTGGTCGAATGCAGCGAGCTTCCTCCGGAGAACGCCCGACTCATCGCCCCCGACGGCAAGATGACCGTACGCTTTGTTCCTTACACGTCATCACCGAATCTTCATCATTGCTCACATTCTTCTTCCTTCTTCTTTCGATATTCCTCTCATCTAGACCACCTCGATCATGAGTCCGCTGTTGCACGGCGTGACCCTCTACAATTTCTGCCAGAAGCAAACCGACGAATGTACATTCCCAAACACAAAGAACGAAAGAACTAATAACTAACTAACCTTGTTGGTTCAGTCTTTTACTGTTCCAAGGAAGAGGGCCAGCCCATCATGCTGTGCCAGTTCAACCCCGTCAAGAACACCTACACCAAGCTGTTCCCGCTCTCGGCGTTCGGTCCCAACGTGGAGCGACTGCGCAACGGCGTCTACGTGCGAGGTACGCCGGGCGCCTCATCTCTCTCCGCCGGGCGATCGATGCGCTTACCGGTAAGCTATTGTGGTGTTGTACCGTGTGTGTGTCGTGCCGTGCAGATGCTCTGGGAGAGGGGCTGATCGTGGACGTTACGACACGATTCAAGACTATCAACATTGTGCGAATTGATCTCAACACGCACAAGAAGGTTCAGCCATTCGCTCATCGTTTGCCACACCAACCAACTCGTTCTGAAAGGCGCAACACGACACGACATGACACACACGACACGCGCTACAAGTCTGGGAAGTCCCGGTGAAGTACGACGTGTGCGAGATAGCGCTGTTG